ACCTCCCTTCACTCACTGCCATCCAGTCTGAGGCTGTCTGCCTGCAGAGCAACTAGTCTTGACTCCACCTGCTGGCCGTGTGGTGAACCGCCCAGTGTGTGACCCCTACGCCGCCAGGGTTCCCTGGGAAGCCCAGCCAGTCTTTCTTTCAGATACCGGGCTGTGGTCTTGCCAACTGCTGAGGTCAGCTGGTATCAAAGTGTGGCCCATGTGTTCTGGTGGTTACTGCCAGCAAGTCCAGCAGTTTGAACCCACCATCTGCTGCTTGAAAGAAAGCTGAGGCAGCCTTGGAAACTCTAGTGGGCAACCCTGTGTCCTGGGGTGCAGTTAAGGCAGGGCTGACTGACCACGTAACTGGTGTGCTCTCTGAGGGGAGATGGGGGTCTCTCTCCCAGCAGGGGGGCCCTGAGGAAGCTGCAGGCTGGGGCTTGGCCTGGGAGCAGCAGGCCAGGTAGCCCCTCTTCATGTTGACGGGAGAAGCTCCTGGCTTCGGTGGGCTTAGCAAGGTGAGGGCTGGTAGCCCCAGGGCTCCAGGGCTAGGGCGGGGCCATGGGCAGGAGGCGGGTACTCACGGTCCTTCTGGTGGCCCTCCTCATCCAGATAGATGTTTGTCTTCATGTTCCAGATGAACTGGTGGGCCAGCAGCTGGGATTTGGATGCCGCCCACAGAATGTACTCCCGCACGTAGCCCATCTATGGGGTGGGAGGGGCAAGACCATGAGCCTCTGCATTCTGACCTAGCACAGCTCTCAGCGTGCTGTGAAGCTTGTGGGTGCTGGGTACCTGACTGGCCCCATGGCAAGCGGCCTGCTGGGAGGGGCAGCAGCAGCCTTACCTTGTCGTACCTGAGGGCCTGCACAATCTGCGGAATGTAGAACAGGATGGCGTCCTGCAGGGAGGGAGGGGAGCTATGAGCTCTGCAGCCTGCAGAACCCCCCAACAGAGAGGGAGCCACCATGTCCAGGCCCAAGCAGGCCCGTCCCTGCTTCGCCCAGCCCCATGCGCGCCCTGCCTGTTGGAGCACCAGGGCCAGATGAGCTCTGCAGACAGCCCAGGGGTGACAGGCACCACCTGAAGAGCCAGGTGCTGTGCCTGAGGGCAGAGAGCGAAGGGCCTCTCGGGTTGGTTTTTGGGAAGACGGGCTCAGTGCACAGCTGACAAGAGACTCTGAGAGTGAGTTGTTGGGTTCGTCAAAGGCTCACACTCCAGCCAATTTTACTCCTGAACTCTTACCACCCAATAAAGGGTAAAACACAAATACGAGGGCTTCCCAAAGAGTGGGGTGGAGGTGGGGAATGGAATCCACGATAAGAGGGAAAAGGTTTCCCCGGCTCTGTGAAGCACCCTCGTACTCTCTGGAATGACAGCTCTGAGTTAGAACCAAGTGTCTGGTCTGTAACAAGTTGAATGATTATGGGAGGAGGACCAAGCTAGGTGGGCCCTGCTCTCTCCTGTGTGGGAAGGCACTCACCGGAGGGAAGGAGCGCAGCACCTTGACCCCGTACTGCGCAGTGAGCGGGTGTGGTGGGTACATGCTGGAGAAGTAGGACAGACCGGTGGGGGGGTCGGTGGGCGCCCAGCAAAGCACATGGCTGAGCTCGGGCGCGTCGGCGTCGATGGTGTGCCAGGTGACCAGGAACTGCGAGTAGAGCAGGGACATGGCTGAACTCCGGACTGTGGACTTACACAGCCACAAAGTCACAAAATCAAACCCTGGACTGTGGACTTATACAGCCACAAAGTCAGTTGTGTTTAGGAAGGATTTAACAACTGGGGGACATGCTTTGGTACAAACCAGCCACCCCAGGGCCAGTGAGTTGATTCCGATTCACAGCAACCATACAGGACTGAGAGCTGTGTCCACAGGGTTCCCAAGGCTGTCAATCTTCACAGAAAGAGACCGCCTCCTCTTTCTCCCATGTAGCGGCTGGTGGGTTTGAACTACCAACCTTTCAGTTAGCAGCCCAATGCTTAACCATGGCGCCACTATACCAGAAATCCAAACTCACTGCCATGGGGTGGATGCCGACTCCTAGTGCGTGAGCCTCTAGTGCAGGGCAGAGCTGTCCCTGGGGGTTTCGGAGACTGTCGCTTTACTGGAGTGGAAAGCCTTGTGTCTCACGTGCCCGGGGAGCAGTTGGAGAGTTCACACTGCTAGCCGTGGTCAGCAGCCCAACGGGAGGCCACTTACTACCAGGCTCCCAGTGCCACCAGCGCCTATCCACAACAACAGAGCTGCTACTAGGTGAAAACTCGTTAATTTGTTGAGTTTTTCTCTGTCATACACGCTGCTGTTGGGTTGACACCACTCCTGGTAACTTTACGTAAAACAAAACGCAGCCTGGGCCTGGACCTGGACCTCCTTATGACCCTCCAGCTGTAGCGGCTTGGTGGTGGTGGACACTGTTACCGGCATTTCAAATACCAGCAGGATCACCGTGGAGCATCCACTTAAGACAGAGTAGGAAGAAAGGCCTTGTGATCTATTTCTAAAAAGCAGTGCTTCAAAACCTGTGGACTGTAGATGTAAACATATGTTTGGTGCCAGAAGCGGAAAGCAAACACCGGAAACCAAACCAATCTCTGCCTCCCAGCGAGGTGCTCCCAGTCCCAGGCCTGCCAGCGCCTGTGGGGAATCAGGTCAGGGTCACCAAGGCCCCACTGTGCTGGCATGGTACCTTGATGGCTTCAGGGACATCGCTGACAGCTCCTGGGTCCAACCGGACCAGGCGGGTCACCTCATTTCCAATGGCTTCCGTGTTCTTAAACCTGCAGCACATGGGTTTATGTATAAGGGACCTTGTCCCAAGACTCAGGTTTGCCACCTCCCTAGAGGAGGGGCCATGGACTGTGCCAAGCTGAAGGGACAGGGCAGTGGCCAGCATCCTTGAGATGGAATTTCGGGATCAGCTGAGGAAATGCCAGCAAACATGGGCAGGGCTGACCCACACTCTTGCTCTTAGTCTTGCCCTCCAATTGGCCCCTCCCTGTTAGGCTTTCCCTGGGGGGAGGGGGCACCTGCTTCTAGCTCCAGGCCACCACCCAGGCTAAGGAGGCTGGAGAACCCAGCTATGGTTCTACTCCAGCAGATGGCCGCAGACCAGAAATGGGAGCTGGGTGTAGGCGTGTCCCCCTAGAAGCAGGCCCAAGGGCAGTTGGCTGGCACTGTCTGGGCACCGTGTGCATGTCAGGAGTCTCTTTCAGCTCCCATCAGTCTGAGACACCTCTGGCCCCATGAGGGCTCAGCGGCTGTCGACAGTGGGCACCTGGGACAAGCTGAGACTCCCACATGCCACTGGCCTGCCAATGCGACATGGCCTCTGAAGGCTGGGGCTCCTAGTTGGCGCTGTGAAGAAGCATGTGACTGCGGGCGGCACAGGGGACAAAGCCAGCTGGGCTGTGGCGCACCTGGCGGGCAGCTGCACGGCCAGGTAAGGAGAGATGCTCCAGGCCAGGTTGACGTTGTCTTTCCACTGCTTCTCGCTCAGACTGCTATACTTGGACCTCCAGTTGGCCACGCTGCTCTCCCCTGCCTGGTCCAACTCCAGCTCTGGGGCCGACAGTGGGTTGTACCATGTGAGGAGCCGCTCAATCTCAGTGGCCTGGGGAGGTGACAACACACTGAGGCTCCCACCTTGTGGCCAGGCCCTGCCTGCCTAGCCCGCTCCCTGCAGTGAGGTGCTGGACTCACCAGCAAGGACAGCAGCAGCGTGCGGCGCTTCATGTAGTACTTGTGCAGCTGGGTGCCCCGGTTGGTCTTCTTTGACAGCCCTGAGGGGGAAGAGAGCACATGGGAGGTTCCTCAGAGCTCCCTCCCTGCCCTGGTGCAGCTGGCACAATGCTCTGTGGGTCCCCATCTAAACAAGTGCCCGGCAGGTGGGGCAGACACAAGGTGTCCCATAAGCACCCACCGACCTGACTTCTTGGAGATGGTGGACGTGCCGCTGGACAGCGGGTATGTGTTGATCCAGCCTTGTGCAGCCTGTTGCCGAGAGCCCACCGTTATGTCCAGGTTGCTCCGCGTGTCCTGGTTTTCTGTGACAAGAGACATTGATCTGGCATGAGCACCTTGAGAGAGACCATGGTCACTGGAGCCCAGGTAGTCCATGGGAGCCTGGGTGCTGTCCCGGAGAGTACAAGTGGGAGCTGCTTCCAAGTCTGCGGGACAAACCCTTTGGGACCGTGTGTTTCCCAGAGGTTATCCCGGCCGCTTCAATGAATAGCTTTCTACTTGTAATGCACTCCGCTTTGCCTTTAAGATGGGACAACAACAAAAATCTCTGAAATTACAAATGACAGTCCTTGGTCAGCACTCCACTGCCCTTTTACATAGTGCTAACATGGGACCTGGGGGCTGGGCATTGGGCTGCCAATTGCCAAGGTCCGTGGTTGGAACCCATCACCAGCTGCTCTGCCTCGACAAAGACTTGGTCTTGGCAAGGTGCCAGGGTGGTTCTACTTTGTCCTTTTTTGTTAGGTGCCGCCACTGAGTAGGCTCTGACCGATAGCAACCCTGCACACAACACAATGCAACAGGGCCTCATTGGTCCCGCGCCATCCTCCCACTATCCCTATGCTGAGCCCACTGCTGCAGCCACTGTGTCCGTTAATCTCCTTGAGGATCTTCCTCCTTTTAGCTGCCCCTCTACTTTATCTAGCATGATGCCTCTCTCCAGGGACTGCGGTCTTCTGACAATAACCGACAGGGTTGCCAGCAGTTGCAGCTGGCTCGGGGGCAGTGGGTTTGGGGTGGGTTTACACGGGCCATGCTCAGGTGGTTGACTCATTCAGAAAGCTGGCTTATGGAACGGCTTTGAAAGCTCTTTCCTGTTTGGCATCAGGTTGTCGGCTGGGGGCTGGCCTGTAGAAACTCACGTCTTGTCTGTGGTGGGTGGTTTGCTATGTCAGGGGGCATATGGGACATGTGCTATGTCTCCCTGGGGGAGCCCCTGGTGGTGGTGGGGGGGGCGGGGTTGTGTGTTGCTGAGATGTTGAAGCTGCTTGGGAGGAACTTTTAGACTAGGACAGATTAGGAAGCAGGCTGGTTGTTAGCTCCTGAAGTCACACGATCTGATTCAGAATGATTGAGAGGCACACATGCACAAACTGCTTCCACTGCAGCGTCTTGTAGTGCCCTGGGCCTGGAAGGCTCTCTGTCCACCTTCTGATGTCTGGTTGGTGCCAGTGTTGCCTCCTCCAGAGATTTGTGAACCTGGCTGGGTCTCTCCTTGAGTGGTGCTCTGGATGGGCCACTGGACACAGGCTACCTGGTGTGTGTGCTTAAACCCTAAAGTAACCTGGTGATTCAGTTGTTACCAGCAAGCGCACCTTCTTCCTCAGTGTGTAGGCAGTCCCATGGCTGCCCCTCACAGAAGCCAGAATTCACTTGGTGGCCTCTTGGGCTCCGCCAACGGGAACCTGTCCCAGACCCCAGGTGAGCAGCGGCACCCAAGCATGGTCTGCGTGAGAGGTTAGCTGCCTCCTGACTGCTCTTTTGTCTAATCCTTGACACCCCTGACCCCTGCCTCGCTTTTTTACTCTGCATGCTCCCTCCACCCCGTCCCCTTTCCAGGGGCGGTCATCGAGAACACTGCTCACCTGGGGGTGCAAGCTGGCTGGCAGTGAGGTACTTCTTGTCTGAGAACATGGCCATCCAAAACTTGATCATGATGCTGATGTCCTCACGCAGCCTCTTCTCCGCTTGCGTCGGGAACTTGGGGGGACAACTGAAAACCATCAAGGGGGCAACGTCAGAGCATCCACGTTACAGAGGGACAAGAGCCCGTCCTGGCTCTCTAGGTGACAGGGAAGAGCTTGAGCTGGTCGCCAGCAACTGCCTGGGGAGGGGTACTGAGCTCTCGGTACAGCATGGGGCTGAGGAGACGAAAGCCCTGGGGCTGGCTAAGGGAGTCTGAGGCGCATGCCAGGTGTGTGGCTCAGGACGAGCCTCCCAGCGGCCAGGAGCACTTCGGGCGCAGAGGTGGGGTGGGCAGGCTGCTGCGGCAGTACCTGAAGTAGTCGAAGGCGGTCGAGTAGACCTTTTCCCGGAGCACGTTGCGAATGGTTGCATTCGGGACCACATCAGCGTGCAGCAGAGTCAGCCCCAGGGTTAGAAGCCTGCACAAGGCACGGGCTGTCAGGTGGGCCTGGGGCCTTCCACCTTCACCTTACGTGCAGGTCAGTTCAGGTGGCCAGGGCTCCCGGGAGTCAGGACTGGGTGGTAGCCAGTCCTCTTTTCACCGACCCTTTTATTTTTACCCCAAAGTCATGGCAGAGCTCCTTGAAGACCTAAGCATTTGTCTGGAGGTAAAAACCCAGTGGATGGACACCCTGCCTTGGCTATCGGAGACCACTGCCAGAGGAGACCACTGCCAGAGGTGCTCGGAGGACAATCTTTAAAACGAGGGGGCTGCTAAGACTGGCAGAGAAATTCCTTCTCTCTCAGGCCCATGCTCCCACCACTTTTTTAGTCTGCTTGCATGAGCCTGTGTTTGGGGAGCTCTCACTTGAAGCGTGGCCCAATGGCGGCCACGTGGCGGTTCATGCTGCCCCTGGCGCCGCCGATGTGCAGGGCCATGGAGCGCTGCAGGAGGCTGGAGAAGATCTCCACCTGGTCGGAGCTGCAATACTTGGCGATCTCAAAGCGCTGCACCAGGAACTGTACAGGAGGGAGAGGAACCATGTGAAGGGCCCGCGCTGTACCTGCAGCCCCCTCTCCCTGGGGGCCTAGAGACACCCTGCCTGCAGAGGAAAGGGCCAAGCCCAGCACAGCATTGTGGAGAGGGGCCCCCAGGCACCTACATCAATCCAGATGTAGTGGGGTGTCACTTCAGGCGGGCAGGGCTTTGGCTGACTGGCTTCTGAGGCTGCCAGAGGGTCGGCTTCATGGATCTCGGCGGAAAAAAGGCCAAACTTCTGCTCCACCGTCATCTGCCAGGCCCCTGCCATCTCCCGCATGAACTGGGAGCAACAAGAGGCTGTGAGCAACACTGGGGAGCAGACGCGAGTCATGTTTTCCTTATCAAGTTATAAAAGGCATGTGTCTGAGCATGACGGTGTCTAGAAGAATAAAATCCACAGGATGCAGTGCCCCAGCCAGGAGATAGACTTGTACATGGAAGACTACGTTGCTGTGAGGTGCCATCGAGTTGGTTCCGACCCCTAGCAGCCCCATGCACACACAACAAAACATTGGTAGTGCTGCGGCCCTCAGATGTCCCTATGCCTGAGCCAGGACAACGACAGAACATGAACAAAACCTACGTAAATGGAGAGACATTCGACATTCTGTATCATTTACATGTCAGTATGTCCCAAAGTGACCTCAATGTTGCACACAACCCCCTCAAAATTCCAATCCAGCTTTTGTTGAAGTGGTAAAACCAATCCTCAAATTTATATGGAGCAGCAAGGAGTGCCAAACAGCCAGTAAGCAGTCCAGCATGATGATGGTCTAATGGGGAGGGGACAGTATGCTTAATAATTGGTGCTCGGTGAAGCCAGGGTGTCTCCACATGAAAAAGATTGAAATGAGGTCGTCCATGGGGCCCTTTGGGAAAACAGCTTGAGTTAGCTCCCTGCCCTCAGTGTCCACCCCAGAGGCCGCGCTATTTTTGTCTAGGTTGCTTTAACACCTCCTAGGTAAGCTGTAAACCAACCGCCTGATGGATCCATGCTACCTACCTGTCTGGCCTGGGCTGCAGGCTGCCCTTGTGATTGGTCTGTTTTACACACCTTGAAGGGCCGAGTCAAGATATTTATACAAATGAAATGGCTGTGGCCTACTATGTAAATGAGGTGAATGTGGGGTCTACCAAGAGGAGAGAGATCTGGTCATTCCATGGCCCTGATGGGAGGGCCAGTCTTGAAACTGACCAGGAGTTTGCTCACATATACAGTTGACCCCACAGACAGAGAAGCGAGGTTGGTTGTCAGAAGCAGGATGAAAGACGAGATGAGAAGCAAGAAGGTGAGGAATCTCAGAAGAGCTGTAACTCGGGTCCAGAAAGGGATAGGCCTGGGCGGGGCCCTGCCCAGGACGGGTGGCCACGGCAGATGCCTGCTGCTTGGAATGCTAAGTAAAGCTACCACACGGGTGACCAGCAGGGTCAGTCAGCAGAAAAACTGGAAAAAACAAACCCTCCCAAACTCAAACTCACCACCACTGAGTCGATGCCAACTCATATTGACTCTCTAGGCCAGGGCAGAACTGCCACTGGGGGTTTCCGAGACTGACTTTCACTCTTTTAGGGAGTAGGAAGCCCCTTTTTCTCCCCAGTCAGTAGTAGGGGTGCCAAAGTCAGAGGCCTGTCCCAGAGGGGCTGATGGGCGGTCTGCATGGCCAAGAGCGTGCATGCGTGAGAGAAGGGTCTGCTTGCTTGCATGGCTGAGAGGAGTGGAGAGAGAGAGGTCCTACTTCTTTGGGGGAACCATTTAGACGCAGCCTGTGGGTTTCTTGATCCTGAGTTGCACGTGTTACTTCCTTATTAAGCCACTTAATTGTAAGTATGGTCCATACATTCTGAGTGGTGGTGTGAAAGTTCTAAACCGCCAGCTGCAGGGTGCAGGGGACCTGGGTGTGCCTTCAGAACTTGGCATGGGGTGACAGACACAAACCCCAGGGAATTTTACATTCTAGAACAGCAGTTCTCAACCTGTGGGTTGCAACCCCTTTGGGGGTCGAATAACCCTTTCACAGGGGTCACCCGAATCACAACAGTAGCAAAATTAGTTATGAAGTAGTGACAAAAATAACTTTCTGGTTGGGGGGTCACCACCACATGAGGAACTGTATGAAAGGGTCGCGGTATTAGGAAGGTCGAGAAGCACTGCTCTAGAAGTACTAGAACCACCACCGCCATCACCATCTTTCTGGAACATTTCAGCTTCACGGAGGGAAATGTTCCAAAGGTCCCTTAAAGAAAAAACAAAACTTTTTTTGTCCACTGAAACGAGCTCCCTCTCTGCGTGCATTTTGTCCATACTTATAATTAAGGAACCCAGTGGTTACTAGTTGGGTTGCTATCCACAAGTCAGCAGTTGGAAACTACCAGCCGCTTAGAGAGAAAGTCAGGCTTTCTACTCCTGTAAAGAGTGTCACTCTCAGAAACCCAGCATTCACTGGATGGCAGTGAGGATTTTTTTTTTTTTTTAACTGATCTTAAGCAACACAGAAAACACATGTCAACTTCCCTGCCATTAGGAACATTTGAGATCTTTGAGGAAACAGAATGCTCCTAGATGTTTATCTGATCAGCTGAGAGGAGAGGACTGCCTTCCTTCCCTGTGGGCCTCACCCAGCAGCAAAGGCAGAAACATGGCTGACAGGAGAGACTGCTGCCCGGGGAAGATGTCCTAGTGACAAACTCAACTGCTCTGGTCAGATTAACCAGCATTCAAACAGGTCACCCCTTCTCAGTAGAGAGCGGGGGTGGGGGGGTGGGGTTTCCCCCAACCGAGCCTTTGAAAAATGACACCTGGTAACACCTGAGGGGAGCTCAGCATGACCTTGATGGCTGGCAAGGAGCCCTGGGGGTGCAGTGGGGGGGAGTTGGGCTGCTGAACAAAAAGTTGGCGGTTCAAATCCCACAGCTGCTCTGAGGGCGAAAGCTTAGCCCATCTGCTTCCATACAGATGGACAGCCTGGACACCCTGTGGAGTGCTGCCAGGAGTCAAAGTGACTTGCTGGCAGTGGGTTTGGTTTGCATGTGCAGCTCCATTAGGAGCCCCTCTTGTGTGGCACAAAAGGTTAGCGTGCTTGGTTGTTCCCTCAGAGGTTGGTCGTCCAGGGCCACCCAAAGGCACCTTGGAGAATGCTCTGGAAATCCATTTTTGAAAAAACGCAGCCACTGAAAATCCTAGAGGAACGTAGCCCACACGGCAGGTGGGCATCAGGCAGGCAGGTGGGGCTGTCCACTGCTGCTGAGTCCTTCCTGTGGAAACAAGCCCCACACGCTGCAAGCAAATCCTTGCTCAAAGTTAAAGAAGGGAAAGCAGGCCCTGTAGTCAGACACAGTCACTGGGGCGTCCTGAGTTGGGAGTTGCCGTGGCCCCAGCGTGAGGGGCAGGGCCCTGTCCCATCTCTTCTCTGTGTCCTTGGAGCAGCCCTGGGGTTAGTCACAAGGGGCCTACCCTCACCCGCAGTGCTGCCCCGCATCAGCCCGCTCCTACCGGCACTTCCACGCCGTTCTTGCCAGCCAGCAGCCACTCCCAGCAGGCCAGGGCGGTCTCCATGCCGTGCTCGTTGAACATCCGCAGGGGGCCCCAGCACAGGTGGTGGAGGAGCTGGGGGTCGCAGTCTGTGAGCAAACAAACCCCACTGAGGATGAGCTGAGTCTGACTCTGTGGGGACCCAAAGAGGAGCACCCTGCCTCACAGGGCTTCCACATGAGGCTGGCTATCTCTAGGGGAACAGACTGCCACGTCTCTCTCCACTGGAGTAGCCGGTTGGCAGCCCAATGCTGAGTCCACTGTGCCCGCAGGGCTCCCTCCTGGGTGGCTTAAAACACCAGCAGAAACCAACGCACCGCCATCGAGCAGATGCCCACTCACAGCGCCCCTACAGGACCCACTGTGCGTCTCTAAGACTAAGTCTTTGCCGAAGCGGAAAGCCTTGTCTTTCTCCCTCGGGGTGGATGGTGGTTTCAAACTGCCAACTTTGGGGTTAGTAACCCAATGTGCAATCACCACAGGTGCTTAGATGTCTTCAAATTAGAGCACCAGGACCCCCCAACCCCATCCCTGCTCAACCACCAAGTCCAAAACACCTGGGGCCAAGGACTGGTCCAAGCTGCTGGTTCCAGAATGCCCCCGCAGCCCTCACCTCTGCTGCTGATGAGCATGGCGGTCAGCTTGAACATGGCCTGTGTGTAATGCTGAGGGCTGCCGAGGCTCAGCGCTCTGTTCAGCTCCTGGACCATCATCCGATTCAGGTCAGACGTCTGGCCGGTGGCATCTGAGAACCGGATCATCCCATACACCTGCAAGGGGCGCTTTGCTGGTCTTGTGGCCCAGGACACCGAGTGGCCACAGGACCACGCCTGGAGGGACCCAAGGGTGTCACTACTTCAGGCACGCAGAGAGGGAGCTCGTTTCAGACACATGGCTGCTGCTCACAGCTCTTCCAAATGGTTCTTCTACAACGTATGTGGGCTGGCTTGCCCACCACCTTCAAAGCCCTTGCTGTCAGGCCCGGTCCAACTCCTAGGAAGCCTATAGGTCAGAGAACTATTTCCTGGGCTTTCTGAGGCTGTAAATCGCGATAGGGGCAGACTGTCTCGTCTTTCTCGTGAGGAGCGGCTGGTAGATTTGAGATGCTCAGCTCTTTCAGTTAGCAGTCCAACAAAGAGCTCTCTGTGCCAGCGGGGCTCCTTGCCACGACCACAGGCATCCCTCATGTGCAGGGACCTGGCCTTGTCACCTGGCATTACAGTAGAGCCAGAAGAAGAAGGGCTAAGTAAATTCAGTGTTTTCAGGGCCAATGAGTGACTGTCTTTCAAGTCATGTTGCCTCCACTGTAAGAAAAAGCACGGCTTCCACATTTACTAGACTGCCAGCAAAAGAGATTTGACTTAAAACAAACAAACAAACAAAAACAATCCACCACCGGGGTGCTCAAAACGGCGTGAGGCAGGCTCGGCCAGAGACGGGCCAGACGAGCCCACCAGGTGCCACCTGCCCAGGCTCACAGGGAAGACCAGCCAGTGGAATAAAGGGGTCATGGACACTCCAGGCCATACAACTGTCATGGATGGACTTCAAAGAAGCCCTGGTGGAGCAGAGGGTTAAGCCTGTGGCTGCTAATTGCAAGGTCAAGGATTCTAACCTATGAGCCGCTCCGAGGGGAAAGTGGCAGTCTGCTCTTACAAAAATAGACCCTCTCTACTGTGCCCCGGAGGGCTGCCAAGAGTGGGAAGACTCATCAGGCTTGGGTTGAATTTAGGGAGAACATGTTCCACAAGGTTCCAGGGGCATGGGCTTGAGAGCTTAGGGTGAGCATGGCCGCCCCTCCACATCTACTCCGACACTTCACTCAGCTTTCAGGTGGAGCAGCCTGGACCCCGAGGAGCCCGCTGACCTAAGGGTGGGAAGTACCTCTCCAGCATAGCGGTTGCGCAGGTTCAGGGAAGCCATGAAGTTGGAGTAGTCCTTCTTCACGCAAGCTGGGCGCTCAGTCAGCTGCATTGCCTAGAGAGGACACGGATACATTTCTCAGACGATTGCATTGATAGGGGTTTTCGCATGTCTACCACGGGGGGACGCAGAGGATAAGGGGTCACTGAAGTCGAATTCCATGCCCACATGAAAGCTGAAAAAAAGAGGAAGTACTGTAGAACACCCTTTAGTCTGATAGTGGAGACCAGTGGCGAAGTGGTTATGTGCTTGCCAGCAAACCCAGAGATTGGCAGGGCAAACCCCTGGCTGCTCCAAGGGAGAAAGATGAAGCTGTTTGTTCCATACAGATGAGGACCTCAGAAGCCGGGGGAACAGCCTACAATGTAAAACCCAAACCCCAAAACCCAAACTCGCAGCTGCGGAGTGGGCTCTAACTTGTAAGAACCCCATGGGACCGAGCAGAACTGCTCCCGGGGCTTCTGAGGTGATGAGCTTTGGGCTTTTCCTCACCAGCAGTGGATGTCTCCCCACCCTGTCCCCAGCTGGGGCCACCTGCTCTCCAGCAGGCTGGCACCTACCCCCAGGGTCGTGTTCTGCTTGTTGTAGCCGGCGAAGTGGAGGATGCTCTCGGTGGCCATGGCCAGCCCTGTGTGCTGGGACAATCCGGACACCCAGTTCTGATGCTTGTTCAGGTATTCCTGAGAGGAGAGGGGAATGAGGGATTGTAAGGACAGAGAAGTAGACGGAGTGTGTGTGAGACGGACATCAGTACACAAAGGTGCATGCATACGTGTGTCTGTCCTCATGGCAGACACGTCCCAGTCTATCTGGGGCAACACCTGTCAGAGGTGTGCGGGGGATGGGGGGAGACCACAGGCTTCAGCACTAAAGGGTCCAGGTGGGTGAGTCACACCCTCCTAAGAGCCAAACAGTCAAGCTCTTGCTAGTACACATTCGCAATGGGGCCACCCCAGAAACCCACCCAGGGAGCCCTGGGAGGCGGTGGTGGGTCAAAATGGACTGGGTGGCAGATGAGGGGGAAGAAGCCTGGTGAGCAGCACCATGGGCTTTCGAGCTTTCCATTCTCTGTGGCCTCAGGCTGCCCGTAGAGGATGCTGGGAAAACTGACCACCCACTCTCCGCCCGCTGCAGCCTTCGGGCAGGTGGGGTCCCACTCAGACTGAGGTCCTTCTCCTTTTCCCGAACCAGGCATCAGTCAGGGTTGTTGCAGTGTGAGAACGGCCTGCCGTCCGTCTGTGCACAGGCCGAGGTCATCAGGGTAAGCGCCCGGGCCCGTGTGGAGCCTTTCTGTCCAGGCTTCCTTTTGGTTCAGGCTTGTTTTGAGCCTGCATCTTTGTGGAAGGCAGACCCTTCCCAACCACCATGGCTCTGTCCTTACTGGAGCCCAGGCTGGAAGCTGTGCTGGGCCAGCTGCACCTGATCAGTGCCCCCAGGCACCCTCGTCAGGTTGTTACAAACACCTGCAGCCCAGGCTGCTTCTGTGGGCCTTATCTTCACCTCTGACTCCCTTCTAGTTGACTCCTGCCTGTAGACACGGTGCTGCTGCTGGTCTGGTTCTGCTAACCTGTCTCTGGGGGCTGGTGTGCAGTTTCACACACCTGCCCTCTCCACTGCCTCACCTCCATGGGCCCAACTCCACACCGTCTCAGGAGTGTTCACTCACCTCAGGCACCAGCCTAGTGTTTTTGGTTGGGCACTAGACAGCTAACCACAAGGCCAGTGGTTTGAACTCACCAGCTTCCCCAAGGGAGAAAGATGAGGCTCTCTGCTTCAATAAAGACTAGCAGTCTGGGTAGCCCCAAGGGCAGTTCTACTCGGTCCCAGGGGTCACTGAGAGTCTGCAACCCCCAGCAGCAGGTCTGGTTTCCATTTAGGCACAGAATTCCTGGTTGCCACAAACGCTTGGCTGCTGATGACTGGAAGTTTAAGTCCACTCAGAAAAGCCTGGCGACAAAGGGCTGGCGATGGCCTTCCCAGAAACCAACTCGTGGAAACCTACCATGCACAGTTCTACATGTAGCACATGGGTTTTCCCGGCCATGACCACGACCCCAGAATCTGGGGAAGGCTCGCTGGGCAGCACTGAGGGGCAGTGGGCTGCGCTGGAAAGATCTCAGGGGCATACCTGCAGGTGGGACTTGGTGACTGTGGGCGCCCACTTCATTGCCTCTTGGAGAATCATCCCGCAGCGCGCTGCAAAGTCCTTCACGATGCTCTGTGGGGCACAGGCACCCATGAGAACAGGGCCAAGGCCCAGCATCCTGGGCAAGCCCTCCTGCGTCGTGGCCAGGTATGAGCTGTGATGACTACATCTGAGGTAGAGCCTGCTGTCTATGGGGATGTCGCCCCCCACCCCGATGGCCTGAGGCCTATGGTGGGACAGCAAGCAGCGACTACCAGTCAGCAATGGGAAGGGAAGGCAGGTTCTGGGGGCCAGAAGTCATCATAAGTGCCACGTCCCAGCATGGAAGTGTGGCAGGAAAGGCTTGAGTAAAGGTCTCAACCTACTCAGAGAGGTTTCCTGAGCCAGTTGGGAGGGAGAGATGTGCCCTGGTGGCACAGTGGGTTATGTGCTATTGTGGGAGAAGAAGATGAGGCGGTGCATGCCCACAAAGACCTGTAGGCTTGGACACCCCGTGGAGCAGCTCTGCTCTGTCCTAGATGGCTGCTCTGCATTGAAATTGACTCAGTGGCAGTGGGCTCTAATCTTTATGGAACAAGCGCTGATGGTACAGCAGGCTCAGCAGTGTGCTTCTAACTTCAAGGTTGATGGTTCAACCCTACCAGTTGCTTTGAGGGAGAAAGATGAGACCGTTTGCTTCTATAAAGACTGAGAGCCTCAGTGACCCTACGGGGTAGGTCTCCGTCCTCTAGGGTTACTTTGAGTTGAATTGGGCTAGGCAACAGTGAGTTTGGTGGCGGTGGGGGATGGGGAGGGAGGAGTCTGTACAACATGTAGGCCCTCACAGCCTAGCAACAAAAGCTCTCTGGGAGCTCAGCTAGGGGTCACATAGAGAGGAGGGCAGGCTCTTAGGACAGTCAGACACAATAGGGGACACATAGCAGCATGCTTTATGCATGCACAGTCCCTGAACAAATGGTGGGCTCCTCCCACTGTCCCCTCAGACAGGGTCAGAGCAGGTGAACGCTGGCCTACCTCTCGGGCCTCATAGGTGTCTGGCACCGTGATCCGGTAGGGGACGTCAGGGATGTTGTAGTATGGCTGGTCCTTGTGAATGTCCTGCAAGCATGGTGACATCCTGGTTCTGACTGCCCTGGGGACCCCAGGGTGAGATGTGACCTTGCCCCCACCCAAGCCCCTGACGAGAGGCCACACTGACCGCACTCAGTGACAGTGATAGGGTCTGCAGGATGTCCAGCATGGTCCTCAGCACAGTCCCGCTCCAGAGCAGGTGAGGGAACCTGCACCCAGAAACAGCTTGCAAAACCTGAGGACAGGCCCCTAGAAGCCACCTCCCTCTACAGACCAGTGTCCATGCCTCTGGCCAGGCTGTGCACCCCTCCTCACCCCCCGACACCACCACCACCACGATGTAAGCCAAAGATGGCAACATATCCATGGAGTCTGTCCCTGAAGGTGGCCCCCGGGGCTGAGAGTTCTCGCTGCAGTCCATTCACAGCTCAGGATGCCATTCACATACTCATACACACAGCCATTCACACGATACCCACTCATGTATGCACACCCACTCCCACAACTATGATGCACACACTCACAGGCACAGCCACGCTCACGCCCACTACCACTCACAGTATACCCACCCCATTCATGCATAACCATTCGGATCTGCACAGCCACACACATGCACACTCACATCCACACCCAATCATATACACGATGCCCACTCATATGGACACCCCACCCCCACGCACAGCCACTCACACATGCACACTCATTTATACACACACAATACTCATTCACATACACACCCCCTTCCAACCCCACAACGACAATGCTCAACCATTTGTATACTCATACACACAACCATTCACACCCATGTATACACAGCTGCACATACCCATGTGGGCACACATACCTACTCATGTTCACAGCCACTTATAATTGCACACTTGCCTCCACTCAAATATACCTTTACACACCCACAGTAGCACACATACACTTACTATCTGCACGCACACCACCCCCCTTCCTCCCCAGCCCAGGAGTAGGACGGACTCACTTGTCCACCAGGCCAGACAGGTACTTGTCCGCCACCCTCCGGATACGCTTGTGGATATGGTTGAAGTTCACCAGGAGGAACTGTGCATGCCGCTCCAGCTCCTCCTCGTTCTCCTTGGTCTTGGCCTAGACATCAGGAGACAGCCCAGTGCACACCCTGCGCACCCCCTGCTGACGCGGCTCCCGTGGGGCTGAGCTAGGACAGATACTCACTTTATCTGCCATCATGTTCAGGAAGGCGTCGAACACTTTGTCGGCGACGGCAACCACACACTGCATCATCCCTAAAACCAGACAGGGCATCCTGCTGCTCAAAGGGTTGGCACAGAGGACCCTGGTCGGCACCATGCGAGCTGTTATTCTGCCGCCCCTGCTGCAGAGCAGTGTGCTCAAGACACAACAGAGCGCTCCCACCCACCTTCCACCCAGCTCGGCTGGCGTTCAAGTTCTAGAGACGGGGCGTTGCGGGCCACCTCGTCCCTACACTGAAGACTGTCTGCAGTGACTCATGTGCTACCAGAATCCTCCTTTGACGAATGACAGTGCCGGTCTTAGTCTCCTGTGACCAATACTTCAGAAGAACAGTTATTTTGAAGAGTATCCCTCCGTCTTGGTGTGTGTGCTTTCTCATGATTCGACCAAGGCCTTGGGTTTGAGGGAAACACTATACAGAGGCAGTGTGCCTCCTTGGGCCTCCTGTCAGGGGCATGCGGTAGCAGTGTGGCTTACTGCTAGGCACAGTCTTTTCCATGGCCACATACGCATGTGAAAACTGGACACTGAATAAGGACGACCCTTGGAGAAGAATCTGTGTTTGAATTCTGGTGCTGACAAAAAATATTGAAAAAGATTGCCAGAAGAACAAATAATTGTGTCTTGGAAGAAGTACAGCCAGAATGTTCCGTAGAGGCAAGGCTGGTGAGCCTTGTTGGACATGCCGTCAGGAGAGGCCAGTCCCTGGAGAGGGACAGGATGCTTGGTAAAGTCGAGCGGCAGCGAAAGAGAGGAAGTGGCTGCAATAATGGGCTCAAGCATAGGCACCGTTGTGAGGACGGTGCAGGACCGGGCAGGGTTTGGTTTTGTCGTGCGTAAGGTCACTGTGGGTCGGAGCTGACTGGATGACACTAACAACCACTCCCCCTCCTCAGTGCTCAGGCCCATGGTTGCCCTGTGTTCAGGGTTTGAGGAGCTTGTAAGTCTGCACCTCACCGAGGTTCTCACCCACTGAAGCTTTCCCAGGTGGTCCTTGAACTGGACGTGGCCCCCGGGCACTGACAATGACTGCTCTGTTGTGGCTACTGAGGCCAGAAGCCCCTTTGCTGCTTAGGGGCATGGCTAAGAGTACACCTTCACAGCCTGCAATGTGGAGAAGGGGTGTATCTCTTCACCATTCGTGGGATACCCTCTCTGCCTGGACCTCTCTACTACTGTGACGAGGCAGCATTGCAGCTACATGCCTACACCCCATTAACAGTGGGAGAAATAGGAATTATGTGAAAATAATGGAATTTCCCCACCAACATTTCCCCCCACTCTGAGGTTTACAGAGTAGATAGCTGTTTTCATTCAACAATGCAGACACACTGTTTCTTCTCATCTGTTGCCAAATGTATCCTCCATTATCTCACCTCCTCTCTGTGTTTCCAGTTTTTTCTACTCCTTCCCTCACTCCTCTGAGCGCTTTCTGGGTCTCACTGGTTGGTGGTGATTCTTAGGGTGCTGCCTCTGGTGTTATTTTCCCACCACAGACCTTTCCCCGGGAGAAAGATGAGGCTCTCTACAGGGCAGTTAGTTCTAGCCTCTCGCTGGCTGTGAGAGAATGAGTGACAGACCTGTCTATTGTGGAGCTGAGAAACTGACCCACGAGAGTGAGTCCAGTTCCTGGCTGGAAGGGTGACGCTCCCGTACATGTAAAACTGTATACGTGTGTGTGTTGAGAATTAGAAATGCTTATCTTTTACCCAATAAACTTGTTTCAGTTAGCCAAGATTAGGGGATCAAGTGCTGTTCCTGGTTAAACGGTTGACAATTTGTCCATGAACTGAACCAAACTCACTGTGGTGGAGTTGATGTCGACTCACAGTGACTGTAGGACAGAGAAGAACTGCCCCTGTGGGTTTCAGAGACTGTCGATGCTTTATGGATATAGAAAGTCTCATCTTTCTCCCAAGGAGCAGCTGGTGGTTTTGAACTGCTGACCTTGCAGTAAGCAGCCCAACACTTAAGCACTACTCCACTGAGGTTCCTTTAAATTGGCCCCTTGATCTTTTCTTTTCTTTTTTTTAAATTAGAACACTTTATTATAAATAATTACAGGATATAAGCTGATTTTGTATTAGAACTCTGAAACTTTTAAAACCATATTTAATCCAAGCTTATTATTGTAATAGGTTTAATTTTCCAATTTCCAACCTAGAAAATGCAGGGCATGTTAGAGCTAACAAAGAACAGAGTCAATCTAAATTGCTCACAGAGAAAACCAACACCCATAAAAGTGTCCCACTAAAACCAGAGCAACTCTAACCAAGAAATAGATTCTGCAAAGCCTATTAATCCTCCAATTTCAAACAATCTCCCAAAGGAAAGAAATAACTACTATCATAGCAATTTGTTGGGTAAGAAGCAGAGTCCTTTTCATGAAGGGAAATTACATTATATATAAGAAAAAATGTAATGATGCTTTCAGAGAGTAAGGAAAAGTAATTTCTGTGTTGGAGAGTAAGCATACTAAATTCTTTCCATTTAATTGGTCTTTGGTAGAGATTACAATACCTGTTCATATAAGAAGAAAAGTGATATGAACATGAAACCCACAAAACCAAACTGCTTAACTATTTTTTGCTCAATTCAATCTCAGGAGAACCAACTATGTAATTTCGAAATTCAAGGACGGATGCATTTCCTCCTCTGTCCTTTCTTGGCCTTGATCCTGTTCCTCTGTTCTATGCTGACGTTCTTTCTTAGAAGCTACTTCTCTGCGTTTTCCCTCCTTTTGACTCTTAAGCATTTCTGTACTGACACCATTTCCACCTCTGTTTCCTTCCTCTTGGGATGCTCGAATGCTTGTCCAAATCCACTTCCTCACAAGGTTTTTTCCTTCTTGTGCTCGGGCCGCTCCTCCTCGGGCTTTGCTTCTTCAAAGTGCGGTTTTCTCTTCTGGTCTATCTGTTTATGGGCACCGGTACTGGTATCTGAGGAGAGGTGCTTGTATACCCCGGACTCTCCACTACATGAGCCACCCTCATATTCTTGTTGACCGAGGCCCAGGGTACTGTTTTTCTGAGGGATAGTCCTCAGTCAGTTGACAATAGCCGGGAGAGTCTCCTCTCAGTCTCCCCTCATGAGCTGGTAGCCTTTGAGGTTTCCCAGTGCGTGTGGACTATTCTGACCTTGGATAAGTCTGGACAGCCTCAGAGGGGAGTGTTTCTGGGTCTCCATTCTCTACCTGGGTCTGAAATCAACCTCTTCTTTGTACCCAAAGGTTTCCTCTCTCATCTTTTTTGGAAACAAGTCTTTGGCTCTAAGCCTCTGGCTTTTTGCACTTTTGTGTGGTCTTCAAGTTCATCTTGAACAGCGTCCTATGTCGTCTCTGAATGCTTCGTTGACAACCAGGGGTTCTCCCATCAAGCTGAGCACTCGGTGGAGATGTGCCCATATTTACTCTTTAATGGCTCCAGTTTTTCTGCATGAACTCCCAAACAGTTAGTGTTTGTGGAACAGGGAATTAAAAATGAAGACGCAGAAATTATAAAACAGATTTTTGTGCAAGAATCCACTTTCACTCTCCTTCTCTGAGGCAGAGGTGGGCATCTACAACTACTGCCCCACTCCCCGCCAATGCCACCAGCCAGGAGAGAGGCCAGGGTGGAGGTGGCTGAGAGGCAAGAACCACTGCTGTTGCTGCCACCGAGCAGGCGGGATAAAAGCCCTGTGGTCTTTTCTGATTCTGAAATTTTCTCCCATGCAACAGCTAAAGGTTCATCAAGGTTCACCAAGGGGCAACCCAGAGGCCCAGTTCTCTCAAGGAGGAACCAGAGCCCAGATGTGGTGGGCACAGAATTGACAGGTGTGTGACACCTGTGCTGCCTTGGGTCTCTTGGCAGAGCCAGAGGGACATTTCTCATTTGAGGACATGCCATGGGACTTCAAAAAATTGGGGGAAATCCCATTATCTCTGAATTCCATTTTAGGAACCCTTTACAGAGCCTCCAATATCCTATACTGCCCCCCGCCCCCCAATGCTGTATGTTGTTTCCAAAAATGGTTTCTCCACGTGGCCTTCTTTGAACACTATCTACCAGGAGGCGCCATGATCACACACTCACCTGATTTGTCTTTCTGAATCGCCTTATCCTCGAAGTAGCAGAACATCACCTGGAAGCGGTCTGGGTCTGTGGAGCGCAGGACCCTGCGGAGGAGAACAGGCTGAGTGAAGGAACAGAGCGCCCTAACACAGAGGGCAGTGCTGGGCCTGGCAACGAGACACCCAGCAGGGAAGGCAGAGCTGAGCCAGGACTGGCCCAGTGGTAGAATGCTCACTTTCCAGGGGAGCGACCTGGTTTCAGTTGCCGGCAAGTGTACCTCGTGTGCAGCCAGCACCCATTTGTCAGTGGAGGCCTGAATGTTGCTGGAATGCTGACCAGGTTTCAGCAGAGCTTCCAGACTAAGAAGGACTAGGAAGAAAGGCCTGGTGATGGACTACCCAAAAGCAGTCAGTGCAAACCCCGAGGAGTGCAATGGAGGGAGCCACATGTGGCCATGGGACAGTGCAGGCTGGGTCACGGTGAGGGAGGTTTGACCAGCAACCACACACTGACGGCGGTGTTTGGAGGAGCAACAATGCACATGTAGGGTTCCCATTCCTGCCCAGAAACGCAGACATCAAGAACCAACCCAACAGGCCTTGTACGAGGCTTCTAACCATACAGACTTTCCTCCCTCACACAGAGCTCACTCCAGTCTCCACCAGCAGGAGTCTGGCCAGGTAAGCCAAAGAATCACCTAGCCAGTGGTGTGGCGTGAAAGGTCACCCAGAAACCAAAATGAGTGGTGGCCCTATCTGGGCAGGGACAGAGGACATTCGGGGACAAGTCATGTGAAGAAACAGGGTGCTGCAGAAGTGCGGAGGCACCTTCTGGCCCCCAGAGTTTTTCTGTCATTGGGTTGTCTGCCAAGGCGGCTTCCAGAAGGGGTCGCAAGAGGGCCACGACCAGTGGGTGTCTGTGCTGTGACGTGATGGCCAGCGTTTGGGGTACTTTTATAGTTAAAACAGCAAAAATCTCTCTTCTCAAGGGGAAAAGGGGGCAGGTGTGTGAGCTGTGCTTAGGTTACAGGCCCACCAGGTCACACACTTCCACAGGTGGACGGTCAGCACTGCATCAGCCTGAGCTACGTCTGTGTGTTGGCCAGGCTGGTGACTTTATTCACACGCATGTGGCTTCTGAGGAATTTGCCTGCCACTTCACTTTGGACAAGTTCTCCCCATAGCCCATTGTGTGGGATCCACTGGGCATTGGAGGGAGGCTAAGGCAGGAAGGGGCCGGGAGGAGGAGGCAGAGGGAGATGGGTACTACAGGGAGAAGGTGAGGGGTGCAGCTATGTTCTGAGGAATGCAGTCCGTGTCCCCACACCAGTCTTGTCTGAACAGGTGAGTGGAAATGGGTTTACGCTGTAAATGTTGACTAAGACCACCACAAAAAGTTCAGCAGGCGTCAATAAAAAAATAACACTTCTCTAGTGATGGCAGGTCCTGGAGTACAGGCACGTGGCTGGGCCTCCACTGGTGCCCCTGGGGCCTCGCAGACAGCCCGGAGCGGGAACTGGGCTTGTGTGAGATGACAGCAGCCCACGCTCTCAGCATCTCCTTCAGTTGGGGACTCGGAACCTGTCCTGGGTGCCCTGTGGGACAGCTAGCCTGGCTTTGTGACATGAGGCTGAGGGCTCTGGGACCCCTCTGCAGCAGGGTGGGTCACCAAGGGAATGATGGATGCGTTGGCACTGCTTTGGTGTAGCTGACTGAATCTGGGCTGAGTTTCCTCTGAAAAGTTACTCAAGGGAAAATACCAGAACTAGAAGGCACTTTGCTAATGTGCTCCCAGAGGTGGGGGTGATCAGCGGGCTGTTCACCCACAATCACCAATTACTTTGTAAGATTCACATGTAAAAACAAAATCAAGCCGCCACTGGCCCTGTTGGGCAGGGCAGAACTGCCCCCTGTGGGTTTCTGAGATCGTAACACTTTATGGGAGCAGAAGCCTCGTCTTTGTTCCACAGAGCTTCTGGGAGTTGTGAACTGCTGACCTTGTGGTTAGCAGGTCAACGCATAAATACTATGCCACTGGGGTTTCGAATCTCAGAAGGAAGTAAAAAGGCATCCCAGGCCAAGCACAGCAGGGCAGCGTGCTCCACAGGCAGCTCGTGAGTGGTGTGCATGAGTGTAGGCATGCGTACCTCATGTACTCCAGCCGGTAGACAGAAAGGAGGTAGGTGGACATGGCGAAGTCCAGCTTGTTGATGAGGGCGGACACTTCAGGAGGCGGATCCAGCAGGTTGCTGATGGTGCTCCGAAGCTCGTTCAACTCAGCCTGGAAGGAATGGATTTCTCCAGCAGCCCTGCCTCATAGTCCCATCCATAGCGAAGGTTAAGCCAGCAGGACAGAAGATGGACTGGAGTCCTCCCAGGGTGCGTATCCACTGCAGGGCTCAAACAGCGCCGTACCTGCCCCCACCCCTGCCATCCCGCCCCGGCAAGCATGCTCACAGGAGTGACCGTGTCGTTCTTCATGGCCGAGTTGTACTGCAGGACAGAGCGCAGGGGCTCCTTGCTGGGGAAGGTCAGCAGGGGCGACTTGGTGGCGATCTCACACACGCCCTCATACCACTCCTCTGGCCAGAGCCCTGCGAGGAGGCAAACAACCGATGCTTCAGCCTCAGAGCAGAAGCAGGTCCCACAGCAACCGAACCCAGCTGCCCCTGGTGGGCTTTGATGCCTGGCCACCCCTCTTGAGTCACAGGAGAACTGCTCTCCGGAGGCTTCCAAAGTAGACTGTCAGGGTCAGCGAAAAAGAGGAAGGCCCCACACACGGGACGGACACAGTGGCTGCAACAATGGCCTCACACTGCAATGCTGGTGAGGTGGTGCAGGACCGGGTGATGTTTCTTTTGGTTGTACGGAGGGTCACTGAATTGGGACTAACCTGATGGTACCTAACAATAGATTGCCAGGACTTTCTTCAGAGAGGCCTCCAGATGGATTTGAATTGTAGGGAAGCGGGAGCCCTGGTGCTGTGGTGGTTATGTGTTGGGTTGCTAATCACAAGGTCAGCAGTTCAAAACCACCAGGTGCTCCATAGGAGAAAGTTGAGGCTATCTACTCTCCGAGTCAGAATCTCAGAAACCCACAGGGGCAGTTCTACGCAGTTTTACAGAGTCACTATGAATCGAATTAACTCGATGGCAGTGAGTTTGGGTTTTGAGACGGTGTACCAAATTCCACAGGTGTGAGTCACTTATCTAAGCCACTGTCTCAAACCAGCAGCAGTAGTGGTTCAATGGTGGAAGCCTGATGGTCACGCAGGAGGCCAGCATGTGATTCTGGCCAAGGCCCCCGAGGTGAAGCCATCACTGGTCTGTAAATGGAGGTTGTGTATTGCTGAGATGCTGAGCAGTTTCAGCAGAGCTTCTAACATGGCTTTGGGAGAGGGCTTGGCAGCAGCTGGCGAAAACAGCCAGTGGGAAGCCCTCTGGGTTGAGTTGTTCATGGGCCCCCATTAGTCAGGAGCTGATGGGACAGCAGCTAAGAATGATGACCCCTTGCATGGAGCCAAGAACAGTGTTCAATAATCTGGGCTCCACTGAGAAGCTTGTTTTTTTTCCAGCCTTGAGCGTCTTCTGGCAAGCCCACACTGTCACACAGACCCATGATGGCAAGCAGCAGCAGGGTGTGGCTGATGTAGCTGTAGAGCTGTGCTCACCCTCTGTGGGTGGCTGGCCCTTGGGGAGACCACAGAACCTACCTGAGCCCTCCATGGCGAAGCCCATCAGCACAGAATAGAGCCAGAAGTCCCGGAAGAGCTTCTGCAGCCTTGGTTTGGCCTCCTTGATGGGTGGCAGGCGGCGGGTGAGCTGTGGGGCATCCAGGAGAGAAGGAGGCCCATCAGGCCTACAGCTGAACTCACCTGCGCAGTGCCATCCATGGCCAAATGGCAGACAGGCCCATCAGGGGGATACCACGGGG